AGGGGAGGGTGGGTCGGGCCCTGCCCCAGGGAAGCTCCGGGCCTGCCCCAGGAACGCTCCGGGCCGTGCTGGCGCAGCAGCCCCGGGACGCAGAGCAGGGTTAGTCTGTGTTACTGGAGGATGCAGCGAGTTATTAAGCTCACAGTGCCTTGACAAGGGCCTTGTGATCAGACGGAGTCACGGGCTGGAGTGACATAAGTGTCAGATTCCTGCTAATGAAGTTTTCATAAATATTGTGGTCTCGTATGATGCTTGCAAAGTGATGAAACAGATGTTGTCGAATTCTGAATAGAATCAGATATGACCCAGCAAAGTCACTGCGATTCCTGTTTTGATGCATGTGCATCTCCTGTGAGCTGTTTGGCAGGCAAGTACAAGAAGCCGTGCAACGCAGAAGGGCCCGTTCGGTTGTTGCTGTTCGCGTGGCAGGACGGGGGTGAGGCAGCAGCTCAGCTCTGCCCCCGGGTGAGCTGCTCGCTGCAGCTGTTCCTTGTGGTTGTGGCAGCAGGGTGGTGTGTCATACAAGAAAAGGTGGTACAAAGCAAGGGGATGTCGTGCTCAGCACAGAAGGTCCAGAAATCTGCTGGTGCTGTCTGCTCTCCTGTCTGCTGCAAACTTAGGGTGTGTCTTTGGGACCTCATCGAGGACAACCTTCTAGAGGGCAGAAAAAATGGCATAGGCATTCTGTGACCTCAACAGAGTTTAAATGCCAGACATTATGTATTTTACATAGCACAACCATCAGGTAAAATGCACGAGCAGTCTTCAGAGCAGTGGTGGGAACTGCTGTCCTTGCCTGTGTTTATGTTGGCAAATCACAAAGCAGGTGAGCAACAGTTGGTGAAACTTACAGAATGAAACATACAGTGCTGGGGACACATGCCCATGCGCCCTGCGGAGGAGCTGGACTGCAGACAGATAGCACTGGGTCTTTTCTCTCTGAGCATTTGGTAATGCTGTTGTGGTGCCTAAATACGTTTTTGAGTCATCCATCAGCCTCATTACAGAAGTGTTGCCAAAAGTGGAGGCAGAACATACTGCAGACACATTTTAAATACTGCTTTTAAAAGGTGCAGTACTCTGATCGGAAAGGAATTGCAGGTAAACAAAGATTTTATACTATTATACTGTGGTCAGAAGATGGTGAATTCCTTAAACATTTAGAACTTGCGGCAAAGACAACAAACATCTCAAGTGGAAGCTCAGAGGAAAAGAGTGATAGAATATTGATCTGTAGGATGTTGTTTATTGGATGGTGTTAAAAAGCTTGGATTGACTTGATGGCTTTGTTAAAAGAATCTGACATTGCCATTCTGTTGTTATTTAGTTTAGTGCAACTTTCTAAAAACTACCATCTTAAAAGTTTTCTCATCATCAGTGTCCTTGGGAGTCACTCAGACAGTGCTTGTCATGAAAACAGTTTGCATCTTGGTGCTTTCAATTATGAGATAATGTGGAGAAGTCAAGGTATCAATACTAACCATTAGATTCTGTTGTTAAATCAGCATTTGGGCAGTTTGAAAATCAGTGTCAAAATACCATGCTTTAGAATGACAGTTGCCAGCAGGCAGCTCAGCAATATGATTTTGACTATGACACTAATACAATTTAAACAAGGTGCAAAATGCTCCTGGGTGAGAAAACTGATTTATGTGTGCATTCAAAAACAAATTTTAGTATTTGGTCAGGACAATGTATTTCTTTGTTGGGTTTATTTTATAAGACCTTTTGAAGAAAAAGGCTAATTTTTCTTTCAATTTTAGGCTGTTACCGCTCACTGCCTGTTAAAACTGCAGCTCTGCTCAGAGATGCCAGAATGCACGTCTTTATGTCTGCTTTGAGCTAGGGGAGAGCAGGCACCTCCCATTTCCTCAAGCCAGCAGCCCTGGTAGCTTCTCAGGAACCTACTGGAATGAGAAGAACTTTGCCTGGGCATAGCTGTCTCATCATGTGGGATGGTTTCTGCCAATCACCAAGTCTGTACTGATTTTCTTCAAATTCTGTAACTGGAGACTGAGTTTTTAAGATGACACTCAAGTCTGCTATCAGTTACTTAAAGTACCTTTCTGCAGTTTTAGAAATCAGAGGCAGAGCAAGGCACACAGTTGGGTGTATTTGTAGCTAAAAGAACTGTGGGTTAGTTGCACAATGCAATCTGTGTTGGGACAACTTTATAGAGAGGCCAGATTCAAAACAGAAGCACTGTGGTGAGGTGCCAGAATCAGTGCTAAACACATCCAAAAGTTCAGCCATTTTGTCATCTGCAAAGAAGTATTGATCAGTAGCTGCATCACAAAGAAGTGTCCACCTGGGCCCTAGACTGGTTTTTTTAGAACTATGTTTAATAAAGATTATTTTTTTTTGGCTGTGATGAGGTCCTTGCCTCTTCCTTATCTGCTTTCTTATTTCTGTGCTTGCTAAGCACCCTGCTGCCCCCTTCACTGCCTTCCTCCATCAGATTGTACTCATTTGGGTCTTGGGGGTGCTTGTTTGTTATATTTTTTTGGTTTTGCTTTTAACTTGCATCTGGTTTAGAATGTGACATGAACAACAGTTAAGTCAGCAGAAATGGTGAGATGATAAAGATGGATCTTAAGGAAGGGTGTCTGTTGTGCTTGTGTTGAGAAGAGAAATTCTAACACCAGACCCCACCTTTAATCTCTCAGTTGTCCATTTTGTGAAGTAAGGATAATACTTGCCTAGTTTATTATAAGTGCAGAATAAAGTGCTGCACAGGTCATTGTGAAGATGACAAGAGGACAGTGGTTGGATTGATTGCCTGATGATCTCACCACTGTATTGCATTGGTTCCTTCCTAGAGTGTTAAAATAGACACACATATTGAACCAGATGGAATTAAATTAGTGTAAACCTTTCCTGGGAAACAGGGGCATCTTAAAGCAGTGCATGCTCATATCTTCATTATTGTTAATGTGCTAGAATGATAAATAAACAGTGCAAATGTACCTTTGTCACAGCTCTTAAATCTATAAAGACATTTTGTTTTCAAAGCTTTCATGAAGTGTGAAATTTGCATTTTTGCAGTACTGCGTGATTTGCCTACCTGAAGAAAGCTTTTTAACTGATTGAAGTAGTTAGGGAGCGTGAGACAAAAGAGAAGTTGAAGAGAAAATAAGCTGAATATAGTCCTTATTAAATAGACAAGGCAAACAAAAAAAAGAGGGGCCCATCACAAGCAAACCTACAAAACGTAACAGGTTTGGATTGTGTGTTTTTTAAGGCCAAAACACTTCAAAGATAGTTAATCACAAAGTTTAAGATGCCAAAATCCTTTCTAGATCACAAGGTTCTTTATGGTTCATCACATGTCTCTTCCTAAGGCTCCTTACCCTACATTTGAATAGAAGCTTTGAAAAAAGGAAATGGAGAAGTTAATATGGAAACAAGGTCCATTTTTGGTACTGCATGTGTCATGTGTATCCGTGTATTTACATATGTAGTTTTGTGTGCCTTCATTACATACCAATTTATTTCCCCTCACAGATAGTGAAAAATGCCTAAAAAGAAGACTGGTGCTCGTAAGAAAGCCGAGAACCGTCGTGAACGTGAAAAGCAGATACGGGCTTCAAGGGCCAACATAGATTTAGCCAAACATCCTTGCAATGCTTCAATGGTAAAATATCCTTAAGTGGTTTATATTACAATGCTTGATTTTAGATTCTGTAAAACCAGTGATAAAACACTGTATTTAATGCCACCAGAATGTTATTCTTCCTACCATCTTTCTTTTATATTTAGGGTTAAATTTGCTTCAGAGATACAAGACTTGGATAAAAAGTTTGGTTCCTAACCAGAACTTAATTCAGAGTCTCTGTGAGGTCTGAAATGTTTACATATTTTACCTAGAGTAAAAATAATTACCATTACTTTATTTCTTTTATTTAGGAATGCGATAAGTGCCAAAGGTGAGCATTTTTCCCATTCTAAACCCAGTAGATTAATATTAATTGGCTCCAAACATTTGTTTTTCCTTAACACATGCTTTTTTTTTTCCTCCCTTCCATGTACCCAGGCGACAGAAGAATAGAGCTTTTTGCTACTTCTGTAACTCTGTTCAAAAATTACCCATTTGTGCGCAATGTGGTAAGTAGAAATAATGAAGGAAAACATGCTACCCTCAGTCCCATTTGTGGAGTTAAACTCATGGCAGTTGGGTACCTTTGTCTTAAAGTACCTTTGTGATTTTTGGAGTAGGTTCTTCTAAGTCTGCTGTGAATATCCTCCTTGAAAAGAGATCTTGCTTGGTCATGCGCTAATGCGTGTGCCTCTGACCCCCAGATGTTTGCAAGTCTGGGTCATGGACTTGTCTTCAGTATTTGATCTTAAGAATTTGTCTCACTGCCTTTTAGGGTTGAGAACATATGACTGACCATTTCCCTAGATTGAATACATATAGTTTCATAACAGCAAAGTTAAAAATGCTCTGACTGCCAGCAAGGCACCAATAAATACTGCCTTTTAGGGGTGATATAATTTCTGATCTGTTTCATATTAATTTAAGCAACAGTACATTATTCACCTTGTATGGTTTTAGAAATAATATGAGCAGCCTATTACGTGATATGTGCTAGAGGGCTGATGCTTTGAAGTCAGAAGAGGAGGACTCCTAGTGACAGAACTTGGCTCAGAATCAGGCTAAAATGCCCCCTTTTTAAGCAACTGCTTGCTTGCAGTTGTTAATCTGTTAATGTTAGTTTCATACTTAGAGAATTTTGTTTTACTGTTTCAACACATCCTTTCAGATTTTCAATCTGTCATGAAACAATTGGGCTGTTTTTTTGTTTGACTCTCTGGCTTCTGACATCTGCAGTTTCCAGTGCCTTTTCTGGGACTTGCAGATACTGAGCATTTCTAGAAGCCAGGCTGTTAGTGTGCAATGGCAGTGTGTCATCCTTCATAAATCTGCCTTCTGTCATCAGGCAGTGCAGTACTAAAAATGTGCTGTCTATCCCACAGTATATTATACATCTGAAGTTGAAGCCTTTGTGTTGAATTCATCATAATCTGCAGTATGTTTCTGGAGGAAAAGCATTCCTAATAACAACCACAAAGTTATATTGAGAACTAGTGTTTTCCAAGACAAAAAAATCATTAGAGCTGTTTGATGGTGAATCAAGTGTTAGGGACAGCCCCTATAAACCATCAGCATCTTAGAGAATTCCCTGGGGGATGGAAGCAAGGTGGCTGTATTACAGTGCTCCAGACCCAGTAATATCCACACCACCTCACATTGCCCACTACTGGTCCTTTCTCACTCTAAGTGCCATTTGCTGTCTGAGGTGCAATTTAATGCAGAACTCTGCTGATGTTAGGATTTTAATTACATTCTCAGAGTAGAATTGGTTTGGTCAGCTCTGGAATGGGTTTGCAGGGAGCACCCTTTTGTTAGTTTCTCTAAGCAGGCAGTAGCAGAGACACCAAAGGAGTCTGTGGCACAGCAGCCTATAACAGCAGTAAAACTATTGCCTAGACTAGCTGCAAGATTTGTTTTTGCTTGCATAAATGCATACAGAGCATGATCTTCCTTGTAGACTGTTTATGTCAGAGGCAAGGAGTAAAAGGAATGTTGTACTTGCGTCAGAATGACTTAAGTGCAGACGATGGCTTTTTCTCCTACTCATCCCTTGCATTTGAAAGGAGTTCTGTTTTCTAGGAAATAATCTCATATGGTTTTAACAACCACCACCACAACTAGTTGTGTACTTGTAAGCAATTAAATCACCAGGAGTACTTTTTTTTTCAGAGGACCTCATACTCATCACACATGTTGCTTTTATGATAGGATAGAACTAGCACCAGTTTAAAACACAACTTTTTATGATGTTATTGTTTGACTTTCTCCTTTATTTTGTTCTCTCATTTGTTTTGACATTTGAAACTCTTGCCAATGCCTAAAAACATACAGCAGGACAACACATTGCCTCATTATCTCAGCACTGGGCCAAGAAATTGTGGCTGGAAACAGACAATAATTAATTTGATCTGAGGGAGATGTGAAGGTGGGTTGCAGATTGCAGGCATTTGTTTGCATTATTTTTACCTACATTTACAATTAAGTGCAGGCATTTGGTTGAAGTACTGCTGTTGTGTGAACATTCCTTCTAAATTTTTAATGGAATTTTCTTGCTTGCTTTTTTTTTTTTAAACAGGAAAAACCAAATGCATGATGAAGTCTTCAGACTGTGTTATAAAACATGCTGGTGTGTACAGTACTGGACTAGCAATGGTGGTATGTATATAAAATTAGCTTTTTTGCACTATGAGGTTATTCTGTGCAAATCTTTCTGGAATAAAATAAAACCAAATTGAAAAATAACATGTACCACACGAAGATTTTTTTTTCATCTTACCATTAAAAACTGATTTTTCCCTTATACTGGTAACCTTAATTTTGTGGTTTTAGATTCAGCTTCTGCAAACTCTTGACACACGTCCTAGATGCTAACAGATCTGCATTGATGACAGGCCCTAAGCACATGCATTAACAACACTGGAGCTTACCTGCCCCATAGCCAATTCCTAGTCTCCATTAAAATCTAGGACCATCCTGTAGAACCTAGAGGACTTTTGTTGCTGTCTTACCAATAGTCTCTAGAATATTGAGATCACTGGATGGAATCTGTTCCATGACATTAAGGGGGGATTTTTTTAAAAAGCAAGTCATTTGGGCTCTCAGCAGAGGTAGTCATAACTTCTGACCTCTGAATTTTTGCTCTTGGAAGGACAAGTTAGTTGTTACTCTGTTCTGGAAAGCAAGGCATGGCAAGGTATTATAGCCCCTGGATTAAATGCTGTATGGACTAACCATCTGTCCTGTTTCTGCCTCCAGTTGGCAGTCAGCTTCTCAGTACCACAGCTAGCCTTTCCAGTCAGATATTCTTAAGCTCATTCTGTGTGTTCACTAATGCAGTATTTTTATCAACAGTTACTTTGGTTTCCCCATTATTTTCTTATCTTTGCGTGCACATAATGCACATGGTAGTTTGTTACACAGGGACTGAGCAGCCATCTAAAACGCTACAGTTAAGAGGCAGTTGCTGTATAGATCTTATAGTTTGATCAAAATGCAAATTAAAGGGTCTAACTTACATCTAATGAGTTATTTGATCTTTGCTGTCTGCAGAACTTTTGTCCTAATACAGCATGGCTTAAAATCTAAACAAGTGATTTCATCTGTTACAATCTAGTGGCATCTTTCAGGTCTTTTTTTGAAATGACATTTTTACCAGAACATTATCATTACTTCTCTCAGGCTTCAGCTGGAGGACACAATTTTTATGCATACAGTACAGAGGAGAGCAAGTTATTTTGCATTACATTTAATACTGCAAAAAATAGTATCAAGCAAACAAGATGAACTGTGAAGCAGCTTGGTAGGAATACAGATGCAGGTCATGCTCTCTTGCTCTACTGGAATGAACCCACCAAGAGAATGGATATTTGGGATACTTAATGTCACAGCAAAAGAGAGTCCTTTTAGGCATTGAAGAAGTTCCAAAATATGTTTCTGTAATTGCAGGGTGCAATCTGTGATTTCTGTGAAGCTTGGGTGTGTCATGGGAGGAAGTGTCTCAGCACACATGCGTGTACCTGCCCTCTCGCAGATGCGGAATGTATTGAGTGCGAAAGAAGCGTGTGGGACCACGGTAGGTTGCTCACATTTAAGAAAATCTGAACAATACTTTTCTCCTCATACTTAAGTTTTTGTACCTATATTTTTAATGTTTTTAATCTTCACTCATTAGTCCTTTCAGTATGTTTGTTGCAAGCCAGGTATGGACCTTATGCAGTGGGGAAGGTAAATGACCTGCTCAAGAAAAGTGTGCTCATTGAGGCGATGGTTGTGTTAAGTATTAACTGCCCTATCAGCTGAATCCTTAAACAAAATTAAGCACTGCATCAGGTTGCCAATACAATTTTCTGCTTTCTCTACTCCATTCACCTGTGCTAGCACAGGTATTTGGATTCCCAGTTGCTTAACAAACCATACTGATCTCTATTGGTGGAATCCTTTAAAGTGTTTATTTCAAGTGTGAAACTGAGGTGAGGGGGTGGGAGGGGAGGAGGCTGGATGAGAGAGACTGATCTAAGAAAAACACTTAATGCCATATTCAAACTAAAATTAAGAACATTTTAGTCAGAAGTAATGTTTTCTATTTATGCTGCCTTGTATTGTATGATGTATTTTTCAGTGTAAAAATGAATGCAGTGTGTAATTTAGGACTTTAAAACATTTGTGACAGAAGAAAGAACTGGTCTTCAGTCAAAACTACCACCTAAATTGTATGCAGATCAGAACTTGTTGCCTATGCCCATCGCTGATTATTTCACCTTGATACATCTTTTAGGAGGCAGAATATTTGCCTGCTCATTTTGCCACAATTTCCTCTGTGAAGATGATCAGTTTGAACATCAAGCCAGCTGCCAAGTTTTGGAAGCAGAGACATTTAAATGTAAGTTACTTATCCATGCTCCCTTTCACCACAGCTAAGCAGACTCTCCAGTTGTTTCCTCTGTGCTACAGAATACTCTCCATCACAGTTTCCAGATAGATTTAGCCACCCCCGGAGGAAGGAGCCTATGTTTCTTACGTGCTTGCTTTTGAAATCCAGTTATCTAGACTAGAGCTTTTGTCTCCAACCTTCCATGTCAGATTGTACACAGCAGTTGTTTCCCTGGCCTCCCATGGGAAGTTGCCTTTGCAGGAGCCAGCAGTCTCTAAAGTTGCAGTGTTGGCAGTGGCCAAACTGCAGGCACTGCTGATGCAGCTTTTTTACTCCCCAGGCAAGAGCAAGCTCTCTGCCACCCTTCTGACCCTTTGATAAGCTCTTTATAGATACCTGTTCTCACAGAAAACAGCTGCCATAAATAATATGACCTCTGTAGTCTGGCTAAACTTTCCCAGATTTCTATGGATGACCTGTATGTTGGTGAACGGTTTGCATCTATTTTGCAAAAGGTAGCTGAAGACTGTATCCTTTGAACTTCAATTAATTATATGGACAGAAGTGAGGCTGGTACTTGTAAGAGAACATGATGGCCTTGCCTGACTTTCCTAGTCCACTACTCGTCTCTGGCTTAAACAGAGACACTTTAAGTTAAAAAAACACAAGCCACAAAGAAAAACAAGAATGTACATGTCTAATCTTCTGTAAAAATATTTTTCTACCCACCATTAACTATTTGGTTTATCCCATGAGAAAAGCATTTTCCCCTTCCAAAGCTTGTATACATTTTATTTTTACTATAACATTTTCACTCATTAGTATAGAAATTCAGGGTACTCTTTGTCATGTGTAAAGCTTTTATTCAGAGCTGACTAATCTTGTGTCCCAGTTTATTTCTCCCAATTCAGAGTATTTGTTGATTTCAGTGTTATAGTCTGTCTCTTTAGAAATCTCTTATCTCCTTTTCATCTCCCATCTTTTTGGTTTTTTTCACAGCCAGCTATTTTCTAGGCCTTGATTAGTTTCCCTTGATAGATTCTGCTAGGATGTCTTCCTGCAGAGCAGTATTGAAGCAGCAGCAACTGTTCCACAATGCTTTTTCCATGACTGTTGGAAGCTTTTAATTCACAGATGTGATGTCACACCCTGAATAGAGTGGGTTTTTGAGGGTTTTCACTTTGTTCAGTGTTTCATGGTACATAGAGAGACAGGATTTTTTTATCAGTTTGTGGCAACAAGATTATAAAACCTGAACTTCTACAGAATTAATGAACTTCAAATGCAGTCATGTAATTGTAGTCTAAATCCCACTCTAGCTGTGAAAGGGTTCTGTTGTTTTCCATCACTGTCTGAGAGGATTTTGTTAAAGATACTCGAGAAATATTTGAATATCTATGTATCAGCATTTCCAATTCCATCTTTAAATATGACAGAGCACTAAATCCTGTGGCTGTCCTGGTCATGTGAAGAGCTCATGATATTACTTCAAAATAAAAAAAATTGCTGTCACAGGGATAAGGTAAGCTGGAATGGAATCAGTAATTGCACAGAGACTGATAAAATACCTATTACTGCTTCTTGAGGAAGAACTTCCAGCTCTGTGTTGCCAGATCCTGTGTTGCCTTTGCTACACTCCCTCTAGTGGAGTAAAGAATCTATTTGAAGCTTCAAGGCAAGTTAGATTGTGAGCACTGGTTCTGCTCTTTAGCTCATGTGTCAGCTACAATTCTTTAAGACAGATTTTCATGTCAAGTTGTGTGCAATAAAGTGCATTTCCACAGAACATGACAGAAAATACAGAACAACTGTTCCAGCTCTGGAAGTTTGCAAGCTTTCAGTGTTCTTACATCCCATTTAAATGAGATAAAGGTATTAAAGGCTGCCGCACCATTGTTTAAAGTGACTGTAAAATGCTAGCTCTCCTTTTGACATTGTGAGAAAAGAAAAAGCAAGATGATCACTTAATACCAAATTGGTTCTGAAACTTCTGTTTGTAAAAGTTCGGAAACTCAAGAAGTAGTTAAAATTTTTCCCCTCTTCAACTTTGTGTCAAAAAATTACCTTACTGCAATGAGGTTTAGACTTAAACCCTAGCAAAATGATACTGTATTGTAAAATACAAGCCCCAGCCCTGTAGTAATTACTTCTTCCAGAAACTTGGCTGTGAGGTCTCCCTGCTCATATCAAGGGGGCTGAAACCTGATGATCTTTAAAGTCTCTTGCAACCTTAACCATTCTATGATTCTGTGATTCTAAAATGACTGATTCTTGTTGCTGAAGTGCAGTTGTGTCAGGGAATTAAAAATTAAATGCCTCAATTACATTATTATATACTTTTACAAGGTTTTAAGAACATCACAGATCTGCAGGGTCCAAGTACTGAATTTTACTTATTTTCTTCACCAGGTGTTTCCTGTAACAGGCTTGGGCAGCATTCATGCCTGCGTTGTAAGGTAAAGACAGTTGCAAGTAGCTATGATTTTAGACTTGTTCACTTTAGCCTCCAAGGCTGGAATCAAGCCTTGTCTTGTCTTCCTCTGCATTATTAAAAAATATGTATACTTCTGTATTAGGTTTGGAGGCCTGGGGGCTGATTTAGAGAGGACAAAAGGGCTTTTATCTGGGATTGCCTGTTAAGCACAAACCTATGTTGTGCATCCTTATGCCAGTTGAAGTGATCTTCACTTGGTCCAATCCTATGTGTTTAACTTGGGACTGTACCATGTTTGGGCCTTTTAAAAAAACCTCAAACAAATCCTTGGTCATGAACAGAATCCAAGGCTTTGGAATATGTTTTGGTCAAGGGTAGAACTAAGGTAAAGTTTGAGGTTGTTTTAGAGCAGTCCAGCATGATCTGACCAGAAAAGACTACAGCCTGGATCCAGTAGAAGTCATCTCCACAGCTAATCCAGTTTTACACATGCACAAGCTAATTTGTTGATACAAGGCTTTTGGTTTTACACACCTCAATACACACCTTAATTTTATAAAAAAAAGTTCCACCTGCTTCATTGTCAACATTGCCCAGATTTCTCCTGGTGCTGGTTCATTGCCTGCTCTTACTCTTCTTACCCTCCATATATTCCCCTGCAGTCTCCCATGGCACTGATTTAATATTCCAAATCATTCCTTTCTCCATATATCTTCACTGGCACCCGGGTGCTCAACATGTGAAATTTCCATCTCTAATTCTTGCCTTCAGGTCACTACTTAGTTACATTCTGGCACAAGTCTCTGATTTTGTTTTATTTAAGCTTTTCAATGTAAAGCAAAGTTTGCCAGGCTCCTTGTGGGCAGCACTATAATCCAGTCCTTTAGTATGTTTGTTTCTCTACTTGTTTATCAGCACTTTTATCCAGCCTCTTCCTCAGGAAGCCATGAAACTACATTCAACACAGAAGTGGTTGCGTTGTGCACAGACTCCAGTTCCACTGCAGATAGAGCTCATTAAATTTTAATCCGAACCAGAAAATTGTACTGTTAGACACTTTATTTGCTTGCTTCTTGCTGAAGAGTGTGCTTCTATGATTAAAACATTTAGCCTTTTTATTCTCCTTTCACCCCACAGGCTTGTTTTTGTGACGATCATGTGCGAAGTAAGGTTTTCAAGCAGGAAAAAGGAAAAGAGCCTCCCTGCCCTAAATGTGGCCATGAAACTCAGCAGACAAAGGATCTGAGCATGTCAAGTAAGCCTGTTTCTCTAGCTAACAAGCTGTACAAGTACCACTGGTGTTCACTGTTCTGCATAGGAACACTGAGTCAAGTCTGATTAATTTGTTTTGCAAAGCTTTGCTGCAGTGGTTTTGGGAAAAACTGTGTGTCTTAGTTCTAGGATTGAGCAGCCTCTCATTCTTAATCATCAATTGATTCCAACACAATGAAAGCTTTCGTTCAGTTTGAGATTTTAGTTACTGAATAATTGCAAAAAATCACCACTTAAGCCTTTATTTAATCTACAAGATGGCTCATGAATTTCAGAAGCGCCGTTTGACAACATGCACACAATCTACCTGAACAAGTCTTGAATAGATCACAGTACATACTGCAGCTGTGAAGCACATCCAATCACAGGTTTTCTTGACTAGAATACCTAAGGTTTATCCTAAAACCTAAATCATACTCTGGGGGCAGTTATCATTTATACTAACTAGGAGGCAGGCTGGTATACTGTGTGTAGCAGAAAGGTTCTGAGGTTCATTAAACCTGAAAATGCCAGATGTAGAAAAAGGCTGACTAGCATTGTGCACTCTTTGCTGAGGAGTGAGAAAAGATGGAAAAAGACATGTCAGATGCTCTGTTGAAATTGTTGAGGGGTGAGGACATGATGATTTTTCTCTGCCTGCAGCACGCTCTTTGAAGTTTGGCCGACAGGTTGGAGGTGAAGAAGCAGATGGAGCTTCTGGTTATGATGCCTACTGGAAGAGCCTCTCCTCCAGCAAGGCTGGAGATGCAGGTGATCGTGACGATGAATATGATGAATATGAAGCAGAAGATGATGATGAAGATGACAATGATGAGGGTGGGAAGGACTCTGATACCGAGACCACGGATGTATTCAGCAATCTGAATTTAGGAAGGACCTATGCTAGTGGATATGCACATTACGAGGAAGCAGAAAATTAAGTTTAGTATTTTGGCAATTTATAAACACTTGGAAGTAGCTTCACTCGAGTTGTTTACATGCCAGTAAGATAGCTCAGTCAAGTAGTTACATATCAAAGTTGGAGAGTAAAGTGGAAGTTCTGCAGTAAGTCCAAGTGAAGGTGTGGGTTGTTCTTTTTATATAAACCAATACTGGGTTTGGGTCTGAGGGAGAAAAAGAGAATCTTTTTATTCCCCTCAGGAACAGAACAGGTTTGTCCTTGAGTTACTGAATATAATGGTTTCATGCCATTTTCTTGTATCAGTACAGGAATATAGGGGAACAGTGCAATTTGTTTCAATTTGCTCATCGGAAGTTATTTTTTACAATAAATTTGGTAACAGATTTCATAAAGTTACTGTAGTGGTGGGTAGGTGACTTTTTTTCATCTGCACAATAAAAGTCAACTGCATTCTTTAATGAATTGTCATAAATATTGATCTCCCTTGAATAGCTGCAAAGCAGGTTGTATACAAAGTGTAAATTGACACTAAAATAACTTAATTGTTTCTGTAGGTAAGGCAGATCAATGTAGTTCTCTGTGTGCCTGAACGTAATGTTCCCAGCATTTTTAGTAATAGATATTTATCAATGGTGCTATATGCAGTCATGACAAGAGCACCCCAGATAATAAAAAAATTATTGCAATAAAAATGTTGGTGTATCCTCTCCACCACTGAAATCTGTAAGACAATTTCTCATTAGACTCATTAAATCAAAAAGAGACTGGTTTCTTCTGTGCCTAGCCTTCAGCTCTTTTCTTTGTACATTATACTAAAAAAAGTTATAGGACACAACTGTATATGAATTGATAAAGGAAAACAGAGGGGAGTTTGATATACTGGTTCCAACACTGTTCTATGTAAACGTTCTACTACTAGACAACTGATCAGCACATCTGATCTGAGGAGGCGACACATGAAGTGTGTGCAGTCATTCTGATTTGGAAGTCAACATGTTAATTTCCAGTCTGCACATCTAAGTAATGTTATTTAATTTCCTCCTGTAGGGGAATGTTGAGGGGATAGCAACTTAGCAGACAGTTGAAGATACAAGGACAGCCACTTGAAGTGTTACTCCAGCTTTCTAAAGGCCATGCTTAAATACAAGAGAGCTATTTCTTGTTACCTGTCAAATATCTGACCTGATTATATAGTTACTTTTGCAGTCCTTTCTCTACTGTTTCTTTACAGCCAAAGGTCATATGTTGGCAGAGCATACTCTATTGAGAATCATCTTTAATGATGTTAGGATTGCCAAATGAGCATTTCCTAACAAAACAGGATTGAGGAACCTGGCCTTGACACTTTCCTCCTAAATGCCTCTCATACCAAATGCATTAAAGAGCTGGAATGCATCCAAGACAAAACAAACTGACAGAACGGAACTTGGTTATGGCAGCTGAGGGGAAAACACTCTGCTGGAAAGAAGGATGTGGCCTGATCAATGCATGTCAAGTGTTTGCCTTCAGAACTGGAGAGGAAGCCATTTAATGCAGTCTTAAAGCCAAATCCCCTTCAGAAATTTAAACTCTCAGGCTATCCAGTTTCATGTGCTAGCAAAGACCCACCCATCTTAAATGATGTAGCTGATAGATGTCGTGATTAGCCTTTTGCAAAAGCAAGCTCAAAGTGAGGGAAATGGGATGCTTGCCAGTTGAACAGCAATTACTTATTTGTGAAGTTGGCCTCTGTGATAGAAATTCTGCTCAACTTTGTAGTCCAAAAACTGCCCCAGCTGAATCCATCTGTGGCTGGTCAATTCCAGCAATTCCTATGCTCCTTTTCTATTTTGGCTGATGTTTCAAACACAAAGCAATTATATGTCTGTAGAAAGTCTTCTGAAAGACTGAGGGGAATATGTGCATTTCAGCATCTACCTAAAATTACAGCTGCTTCAGTGCACTTCATTAATATTATTACCTAACTGCACAACATTCCTCTTTAAGGTTTTGGCTCTTGAATTAGATTTTTTTCCCATATGAAATCTGCTGCTGTCACTGGCTGTGCCAAAGGCTGCTGACGTAACAGAATTAATCATCATAATCAGAGTAAAGAATTATTCATTTTCTCATTGAAATGTCCTTGCACTGATCCTTGCAAGATCAATCCTCCAGAGCTAATGTGTTTCTGTGAGAGTGTTGCAAGGGAAGGCCACAGCACTGTCCTAACAAAAGATGCTCAGGATACCTGCTGTAATTTAGCAAGGTCACCCCCCAATGGACAGAGGCATTTGCTTGCTTTTTCTTTGTACTGCTGTTCATACCACTGAACATGCCTGTGCTATGAACCTGGCTGGAAATAGAGCCCAGGTATTAGAGCTGTACTGGCTGGCCTTCAAGTGGTCAAAACAAGCATGTTTAAGCTGCTTTAAAGTAATCTGGTGGATTCAAGCTAGAGCAGACAAACATGAGTGTTTTCTATTAATGGAGTTGGTCAATTTGTGACAGGATGGGCAGGGTGTGGTGCTACTTTCTTATCCTTCTCTGCTTATTTACTAAAGTTAAAAGCATGTGGTCTGTTGGGGATAGATCCTCAGAGCTTGCTTTCACAGGAAGTACATAATTTTGGTTGTCTTAAGGTAAACAGCAGGAACAGGATGAAGTAGAATGAGCAGGTATCCTAGCTTTACTGAAAAACAGGTCTAGGACAGATTTCCAGTCCTGTCTGCTCCATTTATCTTCATTGCTATTAGCCTATTTTGACGTGTCATGGAGGAATATTAGTAGGACACTGACAGGGCACTATGCCATCTCCACACCTAAAGTGCAAACTGGTGCTTCATTTACTTGGTCTTCTGAATTCAGCAACTGATTTAGGTGTTGCTAAATGTGAAGATGAGGATGCTGTGGTACTGATGACATAAATTTTACAACTCACAGGATTCTCATGCTAGTTCAGATGCTGCCAAAATCTGCCAAGTACGGGGTGACTGCTGAGCTGCTTCTGTCAAAGGTTTTTCAACTCAGTAGAATCCAGGATTTAAACCCCACACAACTCCACCTTTTGAAAACTGCAGCACTGCAGGGTGTGCTTCCTGATGGGGCAGGAGTCAGATAAATAAAATCCCGAGACTGAACATGGCATTGACTTTTCCTTTGAAAATCCTGTCCCTGATAAAGGAGAGTCTGAGCTGAGAGAAGGAGAGTTTAACATATAACGAGAAATACTCGAGAGTAATGTATAGCACTCCAGGAAACCAAGACCTTGATAAAGTCTTGCACTTCTGGTTGGTTTTTTTTGCATCTCCATGATGACCATTTAAACAATGCTTAAGTAGAATATGAATCAAAATCACAGTAATATTTGTACCCATAGACCCTAAAAAACAAGAGCTCCGGCCACCTCTGTAAGCTCTTTTCTAGCATTGGTTTGTCATGATAACAACATCAACTCAGTATGAATTCATTGGGTGCTTACATGTATCTAATGCATTAGGTGTCATTTAGCACCTGTGACTGGAAGTCTTTTGGGCAATCCTGTTGTAGGGTTGCTGGTTTTGTTTCCAGCAAATTCATGTGAAGATTATAATGTACTGAACAGTTTTGATTGCCAGTTGATCAAGTAGTAGCATGCATTTTGCAGAGAACTAGAGGACAAGCTTAAGAACTGCTCAGTCCTATTTGTTCAGGCAGAAACACATTAGCATGCCTTACAAGACATCACATGCAGCTGTCCAGGTCCTGGACCTGTTTTCAGTGGATCCAACAACAAAGCTCCCACTTAGGCAGGTGGGAGTATTCAATAAAAATAATCTTTAGTATCGATCAATCATAAGATGTCAAGAGGTGTTATGGAACAAAACATAAGGATAAGCTGAACTGAGGAAGATGGAGCAAAGCTCAGCATGAAGTTAATAAAAATATTTCTTCTAAATTTTAACAATTCTACTCAAACATTTTCAAGACTGAAAGAGGAAGCTGTTTAAAGCAGGAAGAGATAAATTCCTGCAAAACTTTTAACAAGATGTAGATATTTCTTATTTCCTGAAAGTCTGCACATAGTCCATAAATATTTGTTAAAAACTCAAGGCAATTAAGACAGAGAAATTTTACAATCCTGTTTTGTAGGTACATAAATAGAAAACAGTAACTGACAGAATCTGAGTCATTCAGTTGGCAACAGCCCCCTGCAGCTTGGACTCTTCATCTCCTACCCATGAAACTAGAGTAAACATTTTATAACTAATGACACTTGCTTATTAAGATTATGTGCTGTAATTAGCTACCACACATCTGAAATTTGAATCAGGGCCTGTTTTTTAGCTTCCATAGCCAGGACAGACAAAATCAGCACAAGCACGTTGCAAACATGGGGATCTTTCAATGAAGAGGCACTGGTTTCCCTTTGCTAAAAAACCGATAGGCTCACAAACCTGCACTTCATCTTCTGCAGCTGTTCACTTGATTAGGTACTCATGCAATATGGAGGGGAAAAAATAAAAATCATATTTCAGCCTCTCACCAAATGAGGCAACTACTACCAAGCATGCAGCTTTGCCACTAGTTTACAGCAGTCCTGTTTTTAAGCCCTGCACTTTCCTTTTTTTTAAAGGAAAGAGAAGCAACTGCCAAGCAAGAGAAAGCCTTTTGTAGCTGTCTCTACTCCTTTCTAGCACCAAAGTATACTAAAATGACTCCTGCATTCTCTTTAGCCCCACTTCTGAATCCAGCAATTCTTCTGGTGTTCCCCTAACTTAACTGTAAGTGGAAATGCACTTTTATTTCCATCTGAAATTAGGAACACCGAGTGTCTACAGGGCTTGAGCAGTATTTTGATTTCATCATGAGGTTACTTGATATCTGTTGTAGATTTTCATATTACAAAGCCACTGAGTAAGTTTTATTTTAGTTTTTTATTAGACAGTTAAAATGGCAAAGACCCACAATTTATTTTGCACATAAGAAAAATATTTCCCTGCTATAGTTGCCAGGTGCTCTTCCTGCTGTTTTATTTTTGGCATAGAGAAAGAACTTGGTTCTTTTGAAAGTGAATCACTGCTAGTCAGGCACATAAACCCTTGGGCTGCCTCCGATCTGATTTAAAATTCAGCACCTTATTTTGATAGCAAAGACAAGGATGAGACCCTCTGAGATTTTCCCACTAGCAGGGAATACACAAGGACCTTGCCCTTGATGTCAGCATCAACTCCAAGTGGTGTGCTCTCCTGCCAGTTCAAGGTGGCAAAAGCTGCAATATGACCTTTCACTAGATTACTTTGCAAGCCTGCAGAAACCCACATGCTGCAGCC